CACATTAGAAATATTTTAAAACATACTTTCGTGACAAATATATATAACTAAAAGGAAAAGAGATAATTTGCTTTGTAAATTAAGTTCGAGTTGAAAACCTATCAAATTCAACCATTTGGAATTTTACCACCTTAATTTGAAGAGTTTAATTAAATACTAAATAAAAGTAAGTTTTTCCATTTGTAAATCATCCATTAATACACATTAGAAAACATTCGACATTCATTTTTTTTATATAGATAAAGGGGTTAAATACATTTTCTAATAGGTGGCTGAAGCATCCACGGAGAAGAAGAAAGTTAGAGAAAGTAACAAGTATGTCCATAAATAGTAGTAACCTTCTTTCTTTTTTTTTTTTTGAACAAAAGTAGTAACATTTTACGGTAAGACCAACCAAATAGTTTGAAAAAAAATATATAACGGGTGCACAACAAAAAAAAACGATGAGGGTGATGGTTCCAATGGGACCGAGGATCGGGGACGTGAGGTCCTACCCCAAAATACATGACAATAACAAGGTCCATGCCGACCTACCAATTGAGCATGACCGTATGTGAATTTGGTGGAGAAAATCAAACCCAAGTCCGGTGTGGAAACCTAACATTATATTTGTAGTTATTTTGAAATCATACTTTTCTTAGTAATTTCGTTTTTTAAATTAATGATTTTGCACTAAGTCTGTAATCTTTCCTCCCAAGAAAAATTGAAGGACACAATAAAACCTACTTTATATACTAACAACTAGTCTACCACACTTTTGGTGTTAGCTAGTCTATTGTTAAACTTTGTTATATTGGGAATGTGATATAAGCCTTTGTACAATGAACACAAAAACTTATACCGAGGTGTGAAAATTCACAATCCACAAAATGTACTCGATCGTTATAAATTTATTACAACCGCACATCATCTTACACAACCATACAAAATCTAACAAAAGGTTGAAATTCGTTTTGTAAATCTAACAAATGCATTAGAAAATATAATTGAATGAGCTAGAATGGGCCGAAGGCATTCGCCTCTATGCCCAAGTGGGCCCTGTCAATAGTTGCCCCATTAATAAAAGACTTGTGAAGCTGAATTTCGATTAA